GCTTAGGCACGGCTATACACTCTTACCGTCGCCTATCTCAACAACTTATAGATGATGTACAAACTCTATCTGGAACCATTAAGGATTTACAGGACCAAATAGACTCCCTGGCAGAAGTGGTCCTTCAGAACAGGCGAGGCTTAATCTGCTAACAAGCCAACCAGGGAGGGATCTGCTGGCCTTAGGGGAAAGATGCTGCTTTATGCCAATAAATTCAGGCATAGTACGCACCAAAATTAAAACAGCTTCAAGAAGATTTAGAAAAGGACGAAGGGAGCTATTTGAAAACCCCCTCTGGACTGGGCTTAATGGAATTCTACCCTACCTTCTTCCACTATTAGGCCCCTTGCTAGGTCTACTTTTAATTGTATCATAGGGCCCTGATTATAAACAGGCTGATACAATTCATTAAAGAAAATTAACACTTAGCCTTAAGCCTATACAGGTCCATTATCATGCCTGGATATGAAGACCGTGCTCCTGAGACCTTCCTTTCAATAGAAACTCGCTAAAATGCTCCATCTGGGTTTCCAAATTTTTCTCTCTGCCACCCCCCTTCTTATATAAACATTCTGACCACTCATCGCCCATTGGCCCTCCTCCACTGGGCCCCTCTGCTTGGGGGAGCAGCACCCAGGAGATGATCATAAAGGCTTTTCTAAACGAGGGTGCAGGAAGACTGCAGGAGGGTGGATCCTAGGATCCCAGACCCAAGACCTCTGTATGACATGCCTGGTGCATGGCGGTTTGGCATGCTCCTAAAAAATCCGCTCCTCAAAAAACATGCCGAGGAGATTTCTCTTGAAGAACTTAGCAAGGACGCTTGCTTACAAAGCAAAATGATCTCCACCCTGAGGAACTGGGCCTGTCATCCCCTCTCAATAAGCGACATTTCTGGTCATGTTTGTATAAGATAAGGGGAAATGTCGGAGACAAGGCTCCCTTTGTGAGCCTCTGTCTTGACCTTGCCCTGGAACATTTTTGCGAGTTGTTTTGTTCCCAACTTCTCCATCTCCAGCAAGATGGCGCCCGTCCCTGTTCTCTCCGGGAGTTTACCTTTGCGCCGGCGGAACGTTCACCCTATCAGAAGTCCTATCAGCAGAACAGCCAACCAGCCTGACCTCGTCATTACCCTCACTCCTCAGCACATAAATACCCCTGTGTGACAATAAAATTTTGCAGCTTGATCAGAACTCCATGTCTTGCCTGTCTCCTTCGTTGTCTTGTCCTTCATTCTTCCCTTTAGGTTCGTACCGCACGCTGATGTGTCTGCAGGACGGGACACAGACAGAAACTATTTTTGCCCTTATCTCTATTTTGTTTTTGGAAGAGACGCATAAGCAATATAGGAAGAACCAAGTTTTGCTATAGATAGGATGGCCATACAGGAGTTGACTAGGATTGGCTTTCCTGTACATATGTGTTACATTCTAAATTATTCTTCATCTAAACCTTGTCTGTAGTCCTGTTCCCCTTCTCTGTGGGCTCTGTATTTTAAAGTTTCTGCATTAGTTTCTCTTCATTGAGGGCAAACAAATGCTATTTTGTTTTATTGGGTCTTCCCCATCCCTCATACCTCCTTGTGTGCTTCTGTTTATGCATGTGATTCAAGTCCTTGTGTGTTTACCTGACTAATTGCCATTATGAGGGGACATAGGATGTTCTGTTTGCTGAGCCTGGGCTACCTCGCTCAGAATGATGATCTCCAGTTCCATCCATTAACTTGCGAATGGTGAGATTTCTTCTTCTTCATACCTGCATAAAATTCTTTGTGTTTAAATACCACATTTCTTTGTTTATTCTTTTATTCATATGTCATACAATGTTTGGAAGTCATTTCTCCCTTCCCCCACCCCCTTTTCTTCCTACCCCATCCCTCCTCTCCCCCCCATACATTTTCTTAATCCACTCAGTCAGTAGTGGGGCATATTAGCTGTTTGCCAAACTTGGCTATTTGAATAGTGCTGCCAATAAATTGGGTGCGCAGTTTTGCCTCTGGATTTACCTGTGTTGCATTCTTTGGGTATATCCCCCAAGAGCGACAGATGGTAGAACTATGTTTAGGTTTTAAGAGCCTGCCAAATTTTTTTTCAGAGTGGTTTTACTAGTTTGAATTCCCACAGCAGTGTTAAAAGAGTTCCTTTTTCCCCGCATCCTCGCCAACACCTGTTGTTAGTGGTGTGTTAATGATGGCTATTGTAAACAGGGGTGAGGTGCAATCTTAGTGTGGTTTTAATTTGCGTTTCCTTTATGGCTAGATATGGTGAGCATTTTTTCATGTTTTTTTGGCCATTTGAATTTCTTCTTTGAGAAAGTTCTATTTAGTTCACTTGCCCATTTCTTTATTGGTTCATTAGTTTTGGGGACTTAGTTTTTGAGTTGCCTGTATATTCTGGTTATCAGTCCTTTTATGTGTAGCTGGCAAATATTTTCTCCCACTCTGTGGGTGGTCTCTCCAATTTAGAGACCATTTCTTTTGTTGTGCAGAAACTTTTTTAGTTTTTGAAGTCCCATTTATCTATGCTATCTCTTAGTTGCTGAGCTGCTGGGGTTCCATTGAGAAAGTCCTTGCCTATACCTATTAATTCCAAAGTAGTTCCTACTCTTTCCTGTACCAACTTGAGAGTTTGTGGTCTGATATTAAGATCCTTGATCCATTTTGAGTTAATAATGGTATAGGGTGATATACATAGATCTAGTTTCAGTTTTTTGCAGATTGCTAACCAGTTTTCCCAGTGGTTTTTGTTGAAGAGGCTGTCTTTTCTCCATTGTATATTTTTAGCACCTTTGTCAAAGATAAGGTGGTTATAGTTGTGTGGCTTCATATCTGGGTCCTCTATTCTGTTCCACTGGTCTTCATGTCTGTTTTTGTGCCAGTACCATGTTGTTTTTATTGCTATTGCTTTGTAATACAGTTTGAAGCCAGGTATCGTGATACCTCCAGCATTGTTCTTTTGACTGAGTATTGCCTCGGCTATTCGTGGCCTCTTGTGTTTCCATATAAATTTAACGGTAGATTTTTCAACCTCTTTGATGAATGTCATTGGATTTTGATGGGAATTGCATTAACATGTAGATTCTTTGGAGTATCGACATTTTTACTATTTTGATTCTACCAATCCATGAGCATGGGAGATCTCTCTACTTTCTATAGTCTTCCTCAGTCTCTTTCTTCAGAAGTGTATAGTTTTCCTTGTAGAGGTCTTTCACATCTTTTGTTAGGTTTACACCTAGGCATTTGGTTTTTTTTGAGACTATTGTAAATGGAATTTTTCATACATTCTTTTCCGTCTGCTCATTGTTAGTGTATAGAAATGCTAATGATTTTTCCATGTGATTTATATACTGCTACTTGTTATAGCTATGATGATGTCTAGAAACTTCTGAGTAGAGCTTTTTGGGTCTTTAAGGTATAGGATCATGTCGTCTGCAAATAGGGATATTTTGACAGTTTCTTTACCTATTTGTATTCCTTTTATTCCTTCTTCTTGCCTAATTGCTCTGGCTAGGAATTCCAGTACTATGTTGAATAGGAGTGGAGATAGTGGGCATCCTTGTCTGGTTCCTGATTTTAGAGGGAATGGTTTCAGTTTTTCTCCGTTAAGTATAATGCTGGCTGTAGGTTTGTCATATATACCTTTTATAATATTGAGGTACTTTTCTTCTATTCCTAATTTTCTTAGAGCTTTTATCATGAAATGGTGTTGGATCTTATCAAAGGCTTTTTCTGCATCTATTGAGATGATCAAGTGGTTTTAGTCTTTGCTTCTGTTAATGTGGCTTATTACATTTATTGATTTTCATATGTTGAACCACCCCTGCATCCCTGGGATAAAGCCTACTTGGTCGTGGTGAATAATCTTTTTGATGTGTTGTTGAATTCGGTTTGCCATTATTTTGTTGAGGATTTTTGCGTAAATGTTCATTAGGGAGATTGGCCTGTAGTTCCCCTTTTTGGAGGTGTCTTTGCCTGGTTTTGGGATAAGTGTAATACTGGCTTCATAAAATGTGTTTTGGCAGTTTTCCTTCCCTTTCTATTTCGTGGAACAGTTTAAGGAGGGTTGGTATCAGTTCTTCTTTAAAGGTCTGATAGAATTCAGCAGAGAATCCATCAGGTCCTGGAGTTTTCTTTTTGGGGAGACTCTTGATTGCTGCTTCAATTTCATTTTGTGTTACAGATCTATTCAGGTGATTAATATCCTCTTGGTTCAGTTTTGGATATTGACATGTATCTAGAAATCTGTCCATTTCTTTAAGATTTTCAAATTTATTTGAATATAGGTTCTCAAAGTAGTCTCTGATGATTTCCTGGACTTCCATGGTATTTGTTGTTATCTCCGTTTTTGCATTCCTGATTTTACTGATTTGGGTTTTATCTTTCCTCATTTTAGTCAGTTTTGCCAGGGGTCTATCGATCCTTGTTTATTTTTTCAAAGAACCAACTTTTTGTTTCATTAATTCTTTGTATGGTTTTTTTGGTTTCTGTTTCATTGATTTCAGCTCTCATTTTTAGTATTTCTCTCCTATTTGTTTTGGGATTTGCTTGTTCTTGTTTTTCTAGGAGTTTGAGATGTATCATTAGGTCATTGATACGAGATCTTTCAGTCTTTTTAATATATGCATTCATGACTATAAGCTTTCCTCTCAGGACTGCCTTTGCTGTGTCCCATAGGTTCCGGTAGATTGTGTTTTCATTTTCATCAACTTCCAGGAACCTTTTAATTTCCTCTTTTATTTCATCAATGATCCATTGTTCATTAAGCAATGAGTTATTCAGTTTCCAGCTTTTTGCATGTTTTTTGTCTTTATTTTTGTTGTTGAGTTTTAGTTTTATTGCATTGTAATCGAGTAGAATGCATGGTATAATTTCTACTTTCTTATATTTGCTGAGTCTTGCTTTGTGCCCTAGGATATGATCTGTTTTGGAGAAAGTTCCATGGGCTGCTGAGAAGAATGTATATTGTGTAGAAGTTGGATGAAATGTTCAAATGGAAATCAACTAGGTCCATTTGATCTATGGTATGTTTTAGAGCTAGGATTTCTTTATTGATTTTTTTGTTTGGATGACCTATCTATTGATGATAGTGGGATGTTAAAAGTCTCCCACTACCACTGTGTTGGAGTTGATATGTGCTTTTAGGTCCTTCAGGGTATGTTTAATGAAATTGGGTGCATTGACATTGGGTGCATATAAGTTGATAATTGTTATTTCCTTTTGGTCTATTTCCCCTTTTTATTTGTGGAATGTCCTTCTTTATCTCATTTGATTAGTGTATTTTTGAAGTCTACTTTGTCCGAGATAAGTATTGCTACTCCTGCCTGTTTTCGGGGGCCATTGCACTCCTGTGCTTTTTGCTACAGTAAGATAGTCCAGCCTCATCTTGCATCTCCTTTTTCTCAAGCCAAACCAGTTATTTCTCCAGGGAGCCTAGATTCCTTTTACTGGCAAATGGTGTTAGAAGAAAAGTGTGTTCATTGCTACTGGAGTGTCATCACTATTTTAAAGTATGCAATTCAGTGTTTTTTAGTGTATTCACAATTATATAACCATCAGCATAATCAGTTTTAAATATTTTATCACTCCCAAAAGAAATCTTGTACCCACCAGCAGCCACTTGTTATTCCTCTCCTTCTTCAGCCTCTGAAAACCACTAATCTTTCTGTCTCTATGGACATTTCACTTTAATGTAATTATATAATATATGCCCTTTTGTAACCATTTTCTTTCACTTAGCATAATATTTTCAAGGTTCATCCATATAGTAGAATTTATGAGAACTTTATTCCTATTTATGGCCCAATAATAATTCATTTATGTATATATACACCATGTTTTGCTAATCTGTTAATCAGTCCACGTTAATTTGGGTTCTCCCCACCAGAATTTCATGCTATAAATATTCTGTAGAAGTTTTTGCGTGACACATGCTTTCATTTCCCTTGAGTATATACATAGGAGTAGAGTTACTGGATAATATGTATCATAACTCAGTATTTAACATTGTGGGGAGTTACCAAACTTTTCCAAATTAGTCTTCAGCTTTTGATATTTTATTTATTTGATGTCCTATAAATTTGATTTTTTAAAACTCTGATCACTAATATCCTTTCTTCTTCAAAGCACATTTCTTCCCTACTTTTTTGTTTGTTGGATTTTCAAATTTCTTCCCAAAGAAGGAATGGCTAATATAACTTGGCTCAGAGAAATGTGAAGATGTATTACTTAAGGTCAGTTTGGTTTAGAAAGATCATTTTATTAGGAGTCAAGTGGCCTGAATTCTGATTCTCTGGGTACTTCTGTGCCTTAAGGTATAGTAGGTTGCTGTGTCACTTGGCAAAGTGTTTTAGTCACCTGGAGCAAAGGATGGTACCACTTGCCTCCCGTCTATAGGACAGCTATGGACAACAGTGGAAATAGGATATGTGAAGGTCCCTCACCATTTGCATTGTAAAGCAATGATTATGCTTTACATAATCAGTTGATTATGTGGAAAAGAGAGTTCTAAGTAGGAAAGAAACTAGAATTGCTTACATTTCAGGGCAAGTCTAACCCAATTTTGGAGCTTTTTGTACATTAAAAACATTTTAAGACCCGCAGTTGAATAAATACATCTTATTTCTCACCCTATCCTGCCCTAAAAACCACAGCTTAAAAAACATATGACTATTGCCTTAGAAAAACAAGTAATTTGAGGGCACTTGTAGCCAGGCAGTCCTGTCTGCAGCCTCAGGGCCATCAGGGCACCTCTTCCTTGGATCACGCGAGCCCTCAAGGATGGTAGTTCTGGATTTTACCTCATAGCCAGAATTCTAATGAGAAGTGCTTCTTACAGAGTCAGTGCATGGTGCGATAACAAGGCCAAGATTTGACTAGCACTAACAGTTGAAGTAAATTTGAATGTAATTACTTAGTAGCAATGGCATGCATGACTCAAGAGAGCTGAACTCTCCCTCAAAATTGGCATTTTCCCTGTTTTTGTTCTTCTTTTTTTGGTGGAACTGAGGTTTAAACTCTCAGGGCCTTGTGCTTGGTAGGCAGGTGCTGTACAATTTGAGCCATGCTTCCAGCGCCTGTTTTTGTTCGTGATGTTCAAAATTGGTGTGGTTTTCTGCTTTCACAGAATTAATTTTATCCCCTTTGTTCTTAACTCTGTAACTATTTGCTTTTTCAACCTTTTAGTATAAAAATTGATCTTTCTAAAAACTGCCCATTCCTCCTTTTTCTTTCCATGGAATACTGTTTAGTTAATACATTGAGGTCAAGGATGAGGGTTTTGTCCTCTGATTGGTTTCCCTCCTCTTTGTGTCCCTGCCCCTGGTGTTATAGGAAAGATGAGGGAATTACCCAGCCCCGTGACTTCCACCTGGTGGACATTGTCCTGACCAAGGCTCTACCCTTGCTGTTAAGTGCTCTGGGCCTGCGCATACTTAAGAAGTCCAGACTGTACTGGCATCTAGCTTCACCCCACTTGACCCACTTCTTTAGGTTTGATGTAGACACTTACTGAGTATCCAGTAGGTGGCAGGCAACAGAGGGGCCAGCCCAGCCTCTTCTCCTGTGTTCTTGCCTGCACATGTCCCAACCACATCCAGCCTTTAGGTAGTTCTTAGTAAAGATTCCAAATTTCCTTCCTCAGTGCTCCAAGGAGGCTGCAGACAGCATTTTGTCTTCTCTATAGAGATCATAGTTTGTCCTCCTTTGAATTAGGATTTAAAACAAAGAAGCTTTTGCTTTCAGAAATTTTATTTATAGCATTTAAAAAACTACAATTTTACCACTTCTTTTCCTCTAATATTACCTCATTTTAATGCTTTATTTTTATGTGATCTTATCAAGCCCTAAGAATTAGGGAGGACCATTTCCTTCTAGTCATTGAAAATGGGACATTAATTAGTAGATGACAGGGGATAAGGAGAAGGAAGAGTTGACTAGTGACTAGGCAGAGCACAGAGGATTTTTAGGACAGTGAAACTACTTATGATACTTTGTGCGATACTTTTTGCATTTTTGAAAACTCATGGAATATACAGCACCAAGAGCAAACCCTAATGTAAACTCTGAACCTTAAGTAATAATGTATGCAGTGCAGGCTCATCAGTTGTAAGAAATGTGTCACTCTGGTGCTGGATGTGGATAGTGGCGGGGGTGGGGGGGATGTTTGTACAGGAGTCAGAGGTATATGGGAATTCTCTGTACTTCCCATTCAATTTTGATATCATCAGAAACTTCTCTAAAAAAATAGTCTATTAAAAAGTTTTAAAAAGTGCAGCATTAAAGCCCAGAGATTCTGGAGTGTTATTATGTCACCCCAATTGGTTGAGCATGTCTGTGAGTGACCACTTTAAAGTATTGTCCCATGTGGCCCTTACATTGAGGGACAGATTCTGTTTTCTGTATCACAGATGGCATGGGAGAGGTTAAGCCTAAGTGATCTTCTAACTTACAGCCTCACTCAGGATGCTTTTGAGTGTGAAAAAGTGTGCTGCCACTGGTTTCTCCAGGACAGCAGGGCCAAATTAGGACTGTCACCAGCAGGGAGGACATGAGTCCTCCTTGAGTAGCCTGACCATGTTTAGATGACTGCTAGGTGGCAGAGCTTTTCCCTGAGCACTAGGCCGCTGGCTGCAGCTGTGTTCTTACCCTCTGTCCTGGAGCATCTCATCACATTAGCTTTGGCTCCTTGGTTCTGCCAGCCACTGCTCTACTTCACTGTGTCTGGGCATGTCAGCATTTCACTACCAATTGCATAGACCTTTGCCACGAGCTTCTGATCCTTGTCATAGGCACACTCTTTGCTGGGCCATGGCTGCATTGATATCATGGGCTCACAGAGGACTCTGCTGCCATCTTGGAGGCAATTTTCCCATGGTCATTGGCATGCTGGTCCCAGGTATGGAGCTGCTTCTCATTTGCTGATTCAAGAAAACGATACAGTCTACCCACAAGACAGAGTCTAGGCCTTAGAACATAGGTGAGTGAGCAGCAAATGACAGTGGAGAGTGGTCGTTGCTGTGGAAGGCAAGAACAGGGCGCATAGAATATGAGAGGGACACTGGGCCCATACAGGTCTTGGGGCACCACAAAGGGCTGTTAGCAGAGTTCTGGAGAATGAATGGTGTCAGCAAAGTTCTATATGTAAGAAGGCATAGACTTTGGAGCTAGACAAAGCATGACTCTGAGCTCTGGTGTCTTAGATTTGACCTTGGAATTGTTACTTTATTTCTCTGACCTCCTTTGTCTATAAAATGGGAATTTTACCTGCTTTGCTGGGTGTGCTTGTGAACTGTACATGAATACACGTACATTGCTGGCTCACATGTGATGGGCATTAAGTAAAAGTGATGTTGTTCCTGTCATGGTTTAATTAGGCATAATTAGGTGCAGCATGCATGGAAGGAGGAAGTGAGTGTTGCATGTGGAGAGATGAAGAGTGATGAGTGTCTGCCTCAGGATCATTTAAACAGGGAAGTCCCATAATTTGCTTTGCAGAAAGAGGAATGGTGAGGAGAGGAATGAGCCAAGAGGCAGGTGATGACTGTTGCAGTAATGCAGGTGAGAAATGATACCCTATAGTGATTGGAGAACTGTAAGAGGAAAGGATGATTTCTGAAAGGTACTTAGGAAGTAGAATCAACAGCTATTGATGGAAGTGTTTAAAAGAAAGGAAGGCAGAAGATTCAAGAATGTTCTGAGGCACTGTGGTTTTAAGACATTAGAGTTGACTGGAGGAACAGATTCATGTAACACAGGCAGGGTGAGCTCAGAAGAGAGCTGCTCCTTAGCAGAGAGATTATAGCAGGAGGAGAAAAGCCCATTCCATTTGATGGGGATCAGAGAAGTAAAATTTACAAAAGGGACTGAGACTATATAGCAAGAAAGATAGGGAGCCACATGTGCGTGTGTATAATTCCAGCTATTTAGGAGGTGGAAGCAGGAGGATCACAAATTTGAAGCCACCCTTGGCAAAGTTAGCAAGACTCTTTTTAAAAAAAAATACAATATAGTAGCTTAAGTGGTAGAACACTTGTGAGGCCCTGGATTCAGTCTCCAATACTGCGAAGAAGAGTTTCAAGTCAAAAATCAAATTAATACCAGGGCTGAGAAACACTTCTTGGTATAGCAGCAGGGAGCTCTTTGTGAATGGAAAGGGAATGTGGGGTGTGAGCCAGCTTGGAAAGACAGATGGAAGAGGTGGAGGAACTAGTAGCCCTGGTGTGAGATAAGTTGGGAGGTATTGCAAAACCACTTGCCAGGGAGGAACAAGCAAGAGGTGAGCAGACAGGGCACAGTGGGTCCTTTTTGTCTGTGATGCACACTCCTACAGGGAAATTAGGGATTTGAGAAGGTGTATATGTGTATGTGTGCGGTTGTCTGTGTCTGTGTGTCTTTGTGTATAACAAACATCAATATTGGAATTATCTAAGAAGATAATCTTCGTTATTTGGGACACATGACAGCTCTTCCAATAATTTTTATGTATCAGTGGACCTTGTACTGTGGACATTATGTAAATAAATTATTTTTCACTGTGGACATTACATAAATAAGCAGACTGGATGATCTCATTGCAGTGTAGCTCTGAAGTTCTGTAATTCCACATCTTGGTAATTTAATTTGTAAAATACACATTGTTTCAAAAATAATTTACTTCCTTAGAAATAATACACAGTTGAGCTTCCCACTAATCAGACTGACCCTGCTCTCCTCATAAGCAGAGTTTGTGGTTGGCCCTCGAGATAGTTGTCATTCTTGAGAAAATCTCTCGAAGCTATCTGTAGTATTATGACCATCTTTATCAAGTAAGGCACTGTCTTAGGCATTTTCTTTTATGTTCTAAAACGTTATGGACATGAAAGCATAAAAAGCGTTCCTGTCATTCTTATAAATGGTGAATGTATTTGGTTTCTTACTAAGCATAGGTGTCAGCTCTGCTCTTCAGCACTTAGAAATTTTTAACTCAGGTACTCCTCATAATGACTTTGTGAGGAAGGGGCTGTTACTTTCATCTCTGTTCTACAGGTAAGGAAACAATGGTTCAGAGAGAGAGGCAAAGTGACCTGCCTAGGTCACATAGGTAGTTTCAGTGGGCACATTCACACCCAAGTTGTGGCTCCAGTGTCTGTCTTCTTAACCACTGTATTTGCTGTTTCTCCAGTGCATCTTAACAGCTGTGTGTTTTACTAGCAGAGACTGGAGCCTAAGTGAAAGAGTGACCCCTCCCCACCCCTAACATGTATAAGTGTAGTGATTTTTTTTAGATCATGGGCAACAAATTTTAAAATATTTAGACTAAAACAGAGCCATCCAACATACCGTGTACCACTTAAAAAGAACAAGCTAAAATATGTTTCAGTGAATGTATCTAATGCTTCTATGCCTTCAGAGGTTTAAAGAATCACAGGACCCACATCTGCTACATCCTAAGAGGAATCACTCAAACCAAAAACCAAAACAGGCAAGCAGACCTAGGCTCAAGAGCTTTCCTGGTAGAAGGATTCTAGCGATTTCAGCTTAGTGGCGTAGGGTTTCAGGTCAAAAGAAACTTACATTGTACAAATCTCAATGAGTTAATGCCAAATCGTATTTAGGTTGATGAGATGCCCCGAAACCAAAATTCTTTACAACTTAACATTCAGGGTTTTTAGTCATAAAATTGTTAAATAGTTTAAAAGCTGACTTGACATTCCCTTGAAAAATTAAGGGTTCAACATATCAGCTCTTAGTTCTGAATCCTCAAACTAGCAGCTGGGGTGATCCTGAAAGGTCTGAGTTGCTTTGTATGACTAGCTTCGAGTTAATGCTCTGAACCTTCTGTCTGTGCCCACCCCGGGCTGTTCCTGCTCCTTAGCCCACAAAGGTGATGTCTTAGATTAGAAGGGAATGCAGGCTGTACTTGCCTGAGTGCATCACCTGTCTCCTTCCCGACCTCATGGTTGTATTTTCTTAGGGAAACTAGTTCTTTGCAGTTCCTGTCACATTTTGATCTTAATGAAATGTGTAGTTGAAACCCTATAAGAAGTAGAAGTGAAATCCTTTTGCTTTGTTGTTGGGATTATTAACAACCATATCTCTAAAAAGACATCATCATATCAATTACTGGATTTTTGTGATAAACATAGCTTGTGTTGATTTTTGTTGTTTTTGTGGCCCAGACTAGCCTTGACCTCTCCGTCTTGCCTCAACCTCCCATATTGTGGAATTGCAGGTGTGCCACACCTTGCCCAACTGATAATTTTGTTTATGGTAGATGTTTGCCTCTGTGAGGGAAATTCCTTAAGGATTTTGAGAGCTTGCCACCCATTTTATAGCTTTTGATAGATTGTTATTTTTTAAATATGTCTTATGTGATTTTGGGGTAATTGCTGTAAGAGATTAAAAGAGAAAGAGAATTGTTTTTGATGCTTTTGGATTGTCTTAATGAGAATGTTGTGATTCACTTGATGTGGAAATGTCAGGTTAAAATGAACACTTAAGTTGTAACTTGAACTTTTCTTCATGCTCTTTCCTATACAAGCACCTAATAGTGTGAGCTCAAGAGAGAAGCCTAAGAACAAGTCTGAACACTAGAGTTCCTGACTCTTAGTTATTTTTCTCTGACTTGATGCTGTTTAAAAAGTGAGAGCTAGCTGGAGAGGGTCAGAATGCTTTATTAGTGTAGTGCCCTCTAGCTGTGATTTAAGGAATTCGGTACCCAAAATACTAACCAGTATTGATTAGTGTTTGAGAGGAAATTATATTTGTGGCATTGTTTATGTACTTCTCTGACTGCTGCAAATTTTCATAATTTTGTTACAGAAGGAATTTATTAAATAGAAAGCAGATGTCAAAGCATTGAACAGGGCATTTGGTCTTTAATTGGCATCAAAGCTTCCTGACTAAATTCATGAACTGTGTATCCCCAAGGATTTTGCTAATTGTGGGCAGCTCAGGCAGGCAATTTCATGATCCCTAAGGGCTTATGGTTGCTGAAAATGACACTTACATTGGCAACATAGCATCAGGCAAGTAGGAACTTGTTTGCATTATTTGATTTTTTTTCTGACCATGAATTATCCAGATCGATGTCTACAAATCATGTTTCCCAAGCTGTTGTCAAAATCCGCTTATCACTCAGTGTGTAATTTAAACTCTATTTTCTTCACCATTACCTTTTGGAAGTGCTTCTAAAATTTTCCACAGAACTCAAAACTGAGGTAATTGTGAAAGAACCAGTCATAAGAGTATACAGGCATAGTATTAAAGGCATTTTATTATTATTAAATTACTGTTTATTAGTAAAGGTTGTGCTTTCAAAAGCATCAGACAATGTTTCCCTTCAAAATGCATTTTGTCCTTAATAAAGGAATACTTTTATTTAACTTCCCTTGCTAAAATTTAAGCAGATTAGCCAGGAGATTTTAAATTAGCCTTGGCTGCATTTTCCATTCCCCCAGGTCAACTATATCCCAAGAATAGAGAAAATGGGACAGTGGGTTTTTGACTTGACCTTAGAGCATAAAACTAAGATGTCACCTAATGACAGGCTTCATTTGAAATAGAGAGCCATACATTCCATACTTTACCGAGGTCCCATAGTTTTATGGACTCTGGAACAATCACAGTGATGCTTGATTGTAAATGTGTACTGTTCTCCTGGTGAAGAAGATTGGGGACTAGGAGTGGTGGTGGCGGCAATTTATATGTATAAGAACAAAGAAGTTCATTTTATAGTAAAGTATTTTTGTCCTGTTGGTGGTGGTGGTAGTGTTAACACTTCTCATTAAAACGTTTTCTTTCTGTTGCCTGATCTCATATGAAGGGTTGATGTTCATTGGAAGAATTTTGAACCCTGTGTAATTGACTTTGTCTTATTGCATTGTTTTCTAGCATCCTCCTGGACAAATAGCAAGGAAATACAGTTCGTGCTGCACTGTTTTCCTTGATGATAGCACAGTCAGTCAACCAAACTTCAAGTATACAATTAAATGGTGGGTATGAAGATTTCTGCCTAACTGAATGCTCTTTCTGTTCTTTACACTGATGCTGGCTGGTTGTGGGCTCTGGGAGGGGTGATAAAATTTGGGGAGGGGAGGAACACTGAAAATGAGGAATTCTTTTTAAAAAGTGGCTTTGGTTGGTTGTTAAGATTTCAGTGTTTGGAATATTTCTGCATATTACTATTTATATAAAAATAACATTTTTGTTTTATTATTTAACTTGTTTTTATTATATGGTATCATAAGTTATCAATATCATACATAATACCTTATAAATACAAAGACAGTAAATTATTGTAATATAATTGAGTACAAAAATAGATAATTTGCAGTTATTGATATAAATAACAAAAATAGAATTATAAAAAATTCAGTTTTCTAAAGAGTGTTTTTCAAAGGACAGTGCTTATAATTACAATTATCATCATGCAAAAAGAACATTTTAAATTATTTTAAATATAGATGACCTCTAAGATACATTTTTTAATTTTTGTGCATACCTTTTACCCTTTCATTGTTGATTGAAGACATCTTGGCATAATGCAGCTCTGAGTTTGCCTTCTAAATAAAACAAGGCTCCTGTAGTCCCAGTTGAGGACTTGGGCTGCAGTTCACTAGACCTTCTGGCATAGTAAACTGTGTTGCCTGGAGTTGAGAGACTGCCCTTGGCTCTTTCATCAGCAGAGAAGATTCTAGCGGAATTCAACATGGGGCTTTAGTTCTGTATTTTCAAGTGGACTTTAGGAGGGAGGAAGGGGGTGCTTTGGATCAAATCACTTCCCTTTTGGGGGCTTCAGTTTCCTGAAGGCAGGGAGCACTGGTTTTTATTTTTATTTCTTTTAAAAATTTTTCTAAAATTTATTTATCATATTATTTTACTGGGGGTACATTGTGACATTTACAAAAGTGCTTAAAATATACATTAGTTAAATTCACCCCCTCCATCATTCTCTGGTTTTTCTTGTAATGTCAGCAGCCACTCACGGTAGGTATCTCAGAGCACTTGAAGTGTTGGAGCCTGTGGTCAACAACCCAAGTGTGAGGAATCTGGGATGCTGTATTTGTATGCTTGTTTAAGAAAGTACACATTTAATGGCAATACATGTTAGGTATAAAGTGATCTCTTTCAATGAATCAAGTTTTTAAAAGCCCCTTTCTGAACTCAACTACATGTGACAGTCCCAGCCTTGGTCAGGTAGTGGCTACTACAACAGCTTCGATGTACAGTGTCCCATCACTTGGATGGCGATGCTTTTTCTGTAGAATTCATTCTCTGTAGGGCTGCATGCTTCTGAGATTCTAATGGAAATGTAACCTCTCCCTCATTGACCTGGCCTTTGAGTATAGTAAATGACTAGTGGGCATAAACCCAAATGGAAGAGATGTGTTCTAGCTGCACAGTGTAGGTTTTTGTGTAACCTTATACTGCTCCTCTGGGCTGAAATTGACTGCTGGGAAATGGGTGGCCAGTGTTTCTTGGAAGTGTTTTCTTGATTAAGTGGGTTGGCCTTGTGGAGAGAAATAGAAAGCCCTGAAGATGTGTTCACCATGTTGCTCTTGGTACCTGCTTGAGCTCTGATAGTCCAGGATGAGAGCTGCCAGCTTCCCCGTTCTTCCCAGGAAGTGAGATGTGACACCAAGGTAAAGTCAGCCTTGTTTTCAAGAACTGTGGGAGCTCTTGAGACTCACAATGGATCTGACTCAGTTCTGAACATCACCCTTGGATGATTTAAAATTGCCACTGGTTTTGACATAGACACATGAGAGCCTGGTAGGAATACTTGGTAACAGTTGGTAGTTCATTGGTCAAGCCTGGGAGGAACAAGCGCCTAAGTTACAAGTATGTCTGACTGGTTCCAGCCCAGACTGCTTAAAAACACTCTGATGTTCACTATCTCTCTGACATCTGGTGGTAGCCTGGGTATCTGGACCTTGAAACCACCATAAGATGTTCCAATAAGCAGCTAAGGTTGAGGAACCTTGGTGTAAGGGGACAGCTGCCTTCCCCCTTCCTTACCAGCACCTCCTTGAAATGCTTGAATAATCTCTGGGCTTAGATGTAGAGGGAAAAGAAGCTTAAAAGCAGCAGCAGTTAGAATTACCTAACTGTGGAGCCCAAGTAATTCAGTGTAGATAATGTGGCTCCCCTGACCCAAAAGACATTTTCTTTGCACCTCCCAGACTTGAAATTCCTTCAGTTAATAGTTCAGTGGCTTTAAAAAGTATCATCTTTTAAAATGTGTGTCTGGGATCTGGGTAGGTGGGCCCCAACTAAAAGGGAGGGCATCAGAATCCATCTGGCAAGTGCCAGCATTTCTCACTTGTTTTGGTTATGATCAAGGACGAAACCTTTACTCTAGCCAGGGGCTTTGACACTTAAGAGAAAGGGGATACTCAGAAGGGAGAGGAATGTCCAAATCAAAGATAGGCTGATTGCCAGTAGGCAATGAGTTAGAGATTTCTAAGATGTTTAATTTGTAGCACGTCTTTTATATAGTGTCTCTTTCACAAGTGATGAAGCTTTTATTTCTGTGGAGCAGTTTATTTCTAAATTTCACTTGAAGTTCTGTTGTTTCTAGAAAAGACTTAATATTCCCAGGAATGAACATTGAAGTGATTTAATTTGAAGAGTGAATTTCCTGATCAGTGTTCTGAATGAAATAGGACTCTTCAGGTGTTTGACTTTTATATAAATATTGATGTTCAGACTGTTATCAGATAATATATGAAATACTGAATACATTTATGATGCATTGAATTTCTGTGTTTCATTTTACAGTGTAGCTCTTGCAATATATTATCACATCAAAAACAGGTATGTGAATGATGAATTTTATGCTGAACACATCACACATTATCTTCCTTTATGCTTTCCAGTTATTTTCTAGCTGCCATAGCCTTTGGATTTTATATTCTTAACTCATATTTTCATAGACTTCCCAGGGAAGTGCTGAACTACTGTCAAGTCACAGGACACCAATGGGTATTTGTGGTTGAAACAAAACATTCTTGAGAATGTCCAGCTGCCTCTTCATTCATTATTTTCTGTATAATTTATTTAAACACTCTTTTATAACATGTTATTTTAGAATTATTGTATATGCAGTTTTAACATGAAGAAAATGTTAAATTTATATTTTGAATTCAGTTGAGGAAATTTTGGTATACGAAACATAAACTATGTTAACGTAGTAGAAGTCCTCTCTCTGATATAATGCACCTGGCAATGTTTCAGTTAATTTAAAAAGTCGTTTAAAACAGGGAATTAAAAAAAATCTACCATAAGCATTTTATTTCAACACAAAATATGTAAAGAATGCATTTATTTGCCAGTTTATTTGCAATTCAATGTTAACTGTTTCAAATCTAGGACATTAAGCCACATCTATAATTCATCCTTTCTAAGTGGTTTTTGTTTCCCCCAGTTGTAAGAAAACTTAAAGACATTTGTAAAAACATTCTGAATATCGAATTTTTCAGGTTTTGGCTTCACTTAATCTATAGCAAATTTATTTTCAATGATTTTCTTTAGCATCCAAATTATCCACAGCATCCTGTTAGTTTTCAGAACAAAGGCCTCTGTTATTGCAGTCATTTCTTACTGAATAATGTGATATTTACACGTATAAGTATAATGAGTACAACTGGTATGAACTAGTTAGGTAGCAAGCATGGATCTTAACCAGTGGGATCCACAACACCTTCAGGCTGCTCCCAAATGGGGAGAGTGGAGTGGGAGTGGAGGGATAGCCAAGCTTCCAGCAAACAGTATTCTGGGAAAACACAAGTATCTGAAGCGGACACCTGGAAAGGTATTCTCTATCATGATTCCATTCTGTAGTATAGTTGTGACTTGTGGTTTACTGTGGTGCTAGAGAATTTTGGATGTAAGGACTTAAAAATAGCATAGCTTTGGAATCTTTTTTTTTATTAGTTGTTCAGGTATTTCATTGTGATGTTTACAGTGTGCTTACAATGTATCTTAATTTGATTCACCCCCTTCATCATTCTCCCTCCTACCTCCTTCCCCCTTTGAACAATTTAAACCATTTTTGTTGATATATTTTTACATGTATATACAGTGTACATCCATCATATTTGCCCTCCTTCACTCTCTCCATTTAGCCTTGGAACTCTTGAATTAGAACAACAGTGAAAATGTACATTTTGTCTTGCAGTTTATTTCTATGGTAGAAAAGTTTTTAAACTATGAAGCCTTAACTAACCTATAATATTACTACTGTAACTCAGATGTGCTTTGAAACCAGTTTTGCATTAGCATCTTTAAGAGATTTCTCAGTTTTGTTTTTGTTTTGGTGCTGAATCCAGGGTTGCATGCATGTTAAGCACATACTCTACCACCGAGCTCCACCCCAGCCCAGGTTTCCCACTTCTTATACTATCATAGATCCTTAAGTCATGGATCCTCAGCCAGAGGTGGTGATGATAAGAGCCACCTTTAGTAAGTGCATACTCAGAATTCTTACCATTTTTACATGCATTACTTCATTTAGTTTTAATAGCTCTGTGAAGTGATATTGATAGTATCTCCATTTTACTGGCAAGGAATTAAGGCACAGAGAGATTAAATAATTGTATTAAGAGCATATAAGTAGTAAATTGAGTAATTAGGATTTGAACCCAATCTATTATCCAAACCGTTAGTCTTACTACTCCTCTAGATTAGTGGCAATAAATTGGACCAAAAGTCAGTGAAGTTCAGCCAGAAAAACTGAGCATTTGTAGACATTCAGATTGATTGACACCTGTAAGTCTCTAGGGAAGTGGAGGTGTGACTACAGAATCTTTCCTATGCAAATCATAGTGAGCAAACCTTTGGTGCTGGCTGGCCATAGAGCCATCAGCTTGAGAAACATGGTGCTCTCATCTGGGTTATATAGCTTTCCATGAAAGGGAAAGGAAATAGTCCACATCTCAGAGGATGCGGTCTTTTTTTCCCCCCACAGTCATTTTGGCTCACATTCTTAATCTCCACTTATATTTCTAATCTCTGCTTTCATTTTTACAATTACTTTTGGAGTAGCTGGATAGCTTTTCAGGGGCTTTTGTTCATCCAGAAAATTGAACAGGACCCCCAACTGCTCAGCAAAATGGGGTGCAGCACTAGGTTTGTGTCACACAGCCTCTTGAGAACCTTGCAGAGGCAATAATGGATGTGAGAGGGTCTGCTGGTTCTTCATGGCTGGGGCATGAAGTGTCAAAGGATATGTAGTCAGGGACACCTAAAAGGAGCTGCCCATGCTTTCAGGCTCTGCTCTCAGTGTGAACCTTTCTTTGACTCTGGTCTATCTAAATCAATGCTGCCTGGGTTCATGCAGGCAAGTGCAAGTAAGCACAAGTGTCAGTACCCAGCACTCTTTGAAAATGTGAAAGATTTCTGTGATCTGAAGAGAAGTGAGAGTATTCCCTGAGCTTTAAAACAATTCCTATTGTCCAAATGCAGGAATGAAAATTGAGCTGTTTTGCTAGCTTACTCTTCTTTCATTTTTGGAGATAATGGTAAATTTATAGAGCAGAAAAGGCAGAAATCATAGTGTTTGATGTGATGGATGTGTGTTGGGGTGGATCTGGAAGCCTTCTGATGTTCTTTAGCCTCATTGACATTGGAAGCACAGACTATGGGAATTACATGCAGTGCACCAGAAGCAGTGGTTTCCACATTTGGTTTTTAAAGAACATGTTTTAGATAAAATTCAAATTATATGAAAGTGGAGCTGTCACTGGTTAGATATACAAGGTCCCTACAGAGGCCACAGCCAGAGGCATGGTGCACAGTGGAAGTTTTAAATGGTTCTCTGAAGTGACCAGCCTGGAAACTACCAGCCATTCTTTTACAGGCTTACAGATTATTGAGTGAGGCCTTCCTACTTGTTGCCTCTTTTTCAGTGTGAGGTTGTGAAACTCATCAGTGAAGTAGTTGAGCTGCATGTTGTGACACTTTCAGATTGATCTCAAGGATCCATCAACTTTCTTTTTCGCCCTTGGTACTTCTTGTCAGCTACTATGTAGTGGTGTATGAAGATCTGTTGGCCTTTGCTCAGAATCAAGATGTTAAAAGAAATTTAAATCTTTTGCTTGATTTGGTTCATTTGAAAACTCACAAAATTAAAGTGTAGATTTTTGCTTAATTCAACTGTTTATTTCCTTGGGCTGTTAAAACAAAAGGAATTAAGTATTGTCCACAAGAAACATAACTTATCCAGCAGTGTCTGTTATATTTTGTCCTGAAACATAGTTGAATCAAAGTGACTTTTGTTGTATTTTGAATGGAACTCGTTTATTCTTAAAAGAAAACTCCATTTTCTGTTGTTTTCCCCACCAGGGACCCAGATGGAAGGATGCTGTTAGATATTTTTGATGAAAACCTTCACCCTCTTTCGGTAATCCCCTTGTGTTTCATGAGATTTTTTTCTTTTGCTCCTACTGGGTGAACAGGTATCTGAAAATACTTCTTTTTCTAGAAATCTGAAGTGCCACCAGACTGTGACAAACACAACCCAGAGCAGAAGCAGATTTACCGATTTGTTTGGACACTGTTCAGTGCTGCTCAGCTGACTGCTGAATGTGCCATTGTCACCCTGGTGAGTGCCTTCACGGCTACCACAGCCATCCCACGACAGCTGGGTGATCCAGTGGAGTAGGGGTGAGCAAGGGACTCTTCGTTAGGTGACCCTGGGAAATGGTGGCAGCAGCTTTGATTCTGGGAGAATAGAGGATGAATATCCCAAAAGAGGGTGCAGTGTGTGCTTCACAGTCCTCACCTAAAATCATTTGTGAAATCACATTCAGGACCAGTAAGTGCTGAAATGATAAATGCAGGTAAGTAAAACAGTTGGGCTAAGGGGGAATAAGAAGAAACAAGGCCACCAGCTATTGACGTCAGTTCTCTCTTTTTTACTCCCTAGTAAGATTTTAGCAACATTAATAAGATACAATAAACATACACATCCTAAGATGAAAGGGGCATGTATATTGATGGTTTCTGATTGGTCACTTTTGTGTAAAAATAAGATATTCAGACAATGTGAAATTAGTTTGCATTTTTAATCAGATGTTCTACCACTTGAGCCACTCCACCAGCAAAGTAGGAAATGCTTCAACTATATATTTTTTTGGCAGTGCAGGGATTTGAACTCAGGGCCTCATGCTTGCTAGGCAGGCACTCTACCACTTGAGCCACTCTGCCAGCATAGTTTGCATTTTTAGACTCAAGAAAAAATTAAAATCTGTTCTGAGATTCTTTTAACTTTATGGTCTATTCAGGTCAAATTTTATTTGGGAAATAGGTTGAACATGTCAGTCATGAGAAATGAGCTTTGCCTGTGAATGCGCACAGAAGACCATTCTCTCTGGTTTCTGAGAATGGTTATTGTCTTAATAGAAATTTTACAGGGGAATCTTAGATCCCTGCCATACCAAGAGCCTTTAGGTTAATCTATAGTAAACCCATTTTGCTTATTCATTGCTCCTCATTGAACTTTCAGGCTAATTTCAGACATTCAGGTAATCATTAGGTGATCTGGAATAGTTATAGGTTCTGAGATTGTAATCGAGACGTATATTCATGTTGTTCACCATAAGATTTCGGGTTCTCACCCGAAATGGTCCAGCAATGCCCATATAACCCCTCCTCAAGAACCAGAAGGACATCAGACCCTAATGAGATTTGTGTCAAGTTTCTCTTTCTGCCTCCCTACCCCCATCTCTCGGCTTCGTCTTGCCTCTGCTCTTCCCTGTAGGACGGTGGCACTAGTTTGAAGGTTGGCTTTTATTGGTTCAGATTGGATGTGCAAGAAAATAGCTGCCCCAACCCTGTGTCTCCATCACTTTTCCATTTAAGGCCTAACCTTGGCTACTAGCTCAATTAGTTTGGTTCAGAGTTTAGAGAGGGAATGAATTTTGATTGGTTCAGTTGCTTTGGCCCTGACCCTGAGGAACCAGGAGCCTCTTAACCATTATTTTTCTCTTTATATGTCTCTGTCAGAACCTGCAGTCTGCAGTGGTTCTCTGTCCTCCTCAAAGGAAACACAAAGAAGGTTCTTTTATGACCTGCAGGGCCCTGCAAGACTAGGCCAGTTTTTGCGTCTCAGCTGAGTTCCAGGACTCTCCCTCCACTTCTGCCTGTTGCCACCCCACCACTTCCTGATCCCTGAACATACTGGGCTCAGCCCTGCCTCAGAACTCTTGCCTGGTGTCCTCTCTCCCAGCTGTTTTGTTCATGCAGCACCTTAGCGGGGCTTTTGCTTGAAACCTTCCTCCCACCAAACTCCCTTCTCATCATTTCTTGCTCCATTTTCTCCATGGCACTTATCATTTCATTAAGATTTCATTTATTTTATTTTTTGTCTGAGCTCCAGGAATAGTATTTCTTTTGTCTGTTTGGTTCACTAGAATATGACCAGCATCTAGAACACAGCCTGGCACATAATAGTTGCTCAATAGATATTCATTACATATGTAAAATAAGCATGATAATAACTGCTTACTTGCTGAAGTAAATGTAAAGTGTTGATATACCTCACATTTTGCCTGAAACACAAGCAACATTCGGTAACCATTATTGTCTTTCCTTACACATACTCTGCCGTTTCATTGCTTCCATCATTAAGATAAGTCTTCTGAAGGAGGCTGGCTAGACTGAGTGTTACAGAGGAGACTGGTTCTGTCTGAAGTACAGCAGTGATGGGAGCTGGAGGCGGGGGAGGTTTGTAAGTGGTGGATGGAGAAGAAATGCAGGTGGCAAAATGAGAACTAGCCAGGCAAGAGGAGTAGCATCCCTCCTTTCACTTGTGTTTTTATGGCTTTGTGGAGATCCGGCTCACATACACGGTGCTCACCATCTCAAGGGAGCACTTCAGCAGTGTGGCAGCCATCATGGCAGCTGACTTCAGAATATTTTCATCACCCTTGCCCTTGACTGTTCCCTCCCCATTCCCAACCCTGCCCCAGGCCTAAGGACCTGCTCATTTGCTTCCTGTCTCTTAGAGTTGCTCAGTTACATTGTATTTAAATAGGACCAAATTATGATCATTTGTGACTGGATTGTTTCACTTAGCATGTTTTCAAAGTTCATCCACATTGTAGTGTGTTGGGGATTTTGTTTTGTTCCAAGCAACATTCTGTCATTTGAGCACACTGTATTTTGTTTATTGTTCATCACTTGATAGACACTTAGGTTGTTTTCACTTTTAGGTGCTGTGAATGAATCATGCTTCTGTGAACATCGGTGTTTTTTGTGGGGATCAGCTTTCATTTTATTGGTATAGATCTAAGAATAAGATTTCTGGGTTATAAGTACGTTTAGCTTTTTTTTTGGTGGTACTGGGGTTTAAACTTAGCCTCATACTTGCTGCAGGCACTCTGCCACATGAGAGACTTCTTCCCCAATCCTGTGCTAACATTTTGAGGAACAGACTGCCTAATACCCAGAATGGCTCCACCATTTTATATCCCCATCGACAAGGGATTTCCACTGTCTCCATAGCACATCATTGGCAGCACTTGTTCTTGTCCTTTATATTTTAACCACTCTGGTGGGTTTAAATTGGTTCCACATTGTAGTTTTGGTTTGTACTTCCCTGAATTGTCAGTGATGTTGAATATTTTTTCACATGTTTATTGACCATTTGTATATTTTCTTAAGAGAAATGCCTATTTAAATTCTTTGCCCTTTTAAAATTTGAGTTATTTTGATTACCAGATTATGTGTTTTTATGTATTGTGAATGTTATTCCTTTGTCAGGTACATGATTCACAAACAGTTCGCTTTGGTCATTTTACCTTTAGGGGAGGGAGCAGTGCTGGGGTTTCAACTTAGGACTTGTGTTTGTTGGCAAGCTCTTCACCACTTGAGCCACACTCTCAGCCCCTTTTTGCTTTAGTTATTTTTCACATAGGGTCTCATGTTTTTGCCCAGGGCTAGCTAGCCTTGGATTGTGATCCTCCTACTAAGTGTCTTTCATAGATGAGACTACAGGTATGTTCTACCATGCCTGGCTTGTTTATTAAGATGGGGTCTCACCAGCTTTTTCCTGGGACTACCCTCAAACTTTGATCTCCTGATCTCTGTCTCCTGAGTAGCTAGGATGACACTCAGTCATAGTCATGCCTGGCTTTCACTTTCTTAGTGGTATCACTTACAGCACCATAGGTTTTCATTTTCATGAAGCTGAATTTATTATTTTCTCTTGTCACTTGTACTTTTGGTGTTTTATCTAAGAATATAACTAATGGTCATGACTTTACCCCCCTATATTTTCCTTTAGGAGCCATAATTTTAGTTCTTACATTAAAGTCTATCCTCCATTTTGAGCTAATTTTTTGTGAGGTGTAGGGATCCAAGTTCCATCTTTCTCCTCCTCCTCCTTGGTGGTTACTGGAGTTTGAACTCAGGTACTTGCTAGATAGGTGTTCTACCACTTGAGCCATGCCCCCATCCCCTTCACCAGTTTCTTAGAGGTCTACCTGGGTTATTATTTGAGTTTGATTAGTTAGTTTCTGACTTTCTAAAAATTAATTTCATCTACTCCATCCAGTTTGTTGCTATACAGTTGCTCATAGTATTAGTTTTACTCTTTTTCTTTTCTTTCTTTTTTTTTTTGGTGGTGGTACTGGAGTCTGAACTTGGCCTCAACAGAACCTCTTCTTGCTCGGATGACTAGGTGATAAATCATCTCATGCCAAGCTAATATTCTGTCCTATGGGAAGTGTGCTAGGGTGAGGTAGACCCCACCACACCAAAGGTGAGCGAATCAAGCTGTCTGTTCACAAAAGTGTCAGAGCTCTCCCATATATGTGTGCCAGGACTTGCAGACAGGGAAAGCAGTCTTGAGCTTTCACTAAAGTGCAACTCCTTGAGCTGCACTGCATCCACAATATCACCACTGCTAGAAGCATTCATTGAAAATCTTTTTGATTGACTGCTCCCACAATGGCAGGTTTTGGTTCCTCAGTGGGTTTGCATTTAAACCCCTTGTCCTCATTGTCTAAACATAAGAACCCCTAGGCACCAATTGCCTTCCAAGGAACCCAGTAGACCCACTTGTGAATTTTTTTTTGCACATTCCCTTTATTAAAAAATATATTTTGTTCCTAAAGGTAAAGTCACTCAAAACATTTACATTAATTTATGGTTTCAATGTTTGTCCACTCCATAATTACTCCTTTTAATCATCCTCTCTGAAGCTGACCTTGATCATTCTGGATCACAGCTGAGAAGTACTGCCCACTTTCCAGCTGAAAAATGTTACTGGATTATGGAAGAAAGGTAAAGAAAGCCCCAGTTCCCCATCCTTGGCTCTTTTAGTGGAGAGATGGAAGAGAAAGGCAGAAAAAAATCCAAACTCTTGTGTACTATTTCCTAACTTCTTTTTCTAGAGTCTTCAGGATTAACCTATCTGTTCAATAAAAAAAATCATATTTGTCTATTTTGGCAAATCCATTTGTTTTATTTCTCTTAAGCTCTGAAGATTACTTGATAGAAAATCCATTTACTTTTTCTTAGTTTATGAATAATTCAAAGAAACTCTGCAGAACATCATTATGCTCTAGCTTGAGATTTTATGCAGAACCAAGTGTTTGTTATATGTTCTTCAGGTTGCATTGTGTAAATATTTAGTTATAATCATCACTTGCTTCATACTTTTGGCTCTTATCTTTTGACAGTAGGCATTTTTTTTGTTAGAGCTGAATTGGATAGCAAATAGAATGGTACTCAAGAATTTTCACTACATGTGTTTCCCAGTATTTGTAATATGACATTTTACTGAAGTAGTGCTTTATAAAACTTCATTTTCTTCTCTGAGTCTCAGCTGAATGTACACTAAGGATTAAAATGGGTGCCATAATCATCCAATTGAGAAGCAGAAAGTATTCATGACTTGTTTGATGTCATACTTTAGGTAGTGACAGAAGATAGTATCAAGCTTAGAATTTTTTACCACAAAGGTTGGCCAACTTGGTCAAGTATATCAGGGAGCAGAGTCTGGACTTTGACTCAGCTAGACCTTATTTATTGCTAAAAGTACAATTGTGCTCTGCTTGCTCATGGAAACACGAGTCTTTTCTATCTTGTTTACAGTCTCAGCTCCATCAAACTTGCACAGCACTTGGAATGCAATAGTTAATTCGTACTTGTAAATGAATGAATAATTGAATGAAGTGAATAAATGATGCATGGACAGATGCTGAGGGTCCACTCTAAATAACATGCAATGTGACTCTTGTCCCTTTTCCCTATTCTTCTTTTCTTATGCCTTGAAATAATATTTGAAATTTGAGACAATGGAGTTAGGGAACTAACTAGGGAAAATGTTTTTTCATTTAAACCCCTTATTTCTTGATTTGCACTGCTACAGTATTAAATCAAATTAATTTCTCTGCTAAGCCTTTGTATCCATGTAGAACCTGGCTAGAATCTGAGAATGTTTTGTGACCTGGTTCTTTCTCTGCATTTGGGAAACTGCTTTAGAAGGCTGGAAATGTATCTTCACACACACACACGTGCACACACAGACACGTGCACACACACACACATACAGAGAGAGAGAGAGAGAGAGAGAAACATTCTCCATCATAAGGTTTTAGTTTAGAGCATTCTCTACTTCCCAGTCCCATAGCTGTGGATTACTTTAGGCAGGCAGGAGACCCTTTTTTGGAGGTTTTCTTGAATGCTTAGCATGTCCTTAGAAGAGAGGAAGCAGCCAAGGACACAATCTGCTGGACCTTGAAGACACCATGGAAACAAGCAGACACTAGATTATTAGTTCTATCACTTTTTCTACCTCTCTAAATGTAGTTAATGTTTTGATACAGAGAACTCTCAAAGAAGAGAGGACAACTGTCTTCTTTCTCTCTTACCTCAACTTTCTACCCTACAAAAGTTTTGTAGCCTCAAAAACCAAACTTGTTGGCTGGCAGTCTAAAAGGATTCCTCATATGGTAGGCTGTCATATCATTTTTGTGATACCCAGGCAGTGTTTCTTTTGTTTTGAAACCTAGGTATGTGAAATAGAGGTCTGGGGTTGAAATTAATGCCTACTGTCACGTGAGAAGAAATAATTGGTATAAAATGTAGTAAAAAATGGCTGTTCACCTGACAGTATTGTGTCCTTTTTTTGGCTATTGGTTTTGGCTGCTATTTTGAGAAAAACATCATGGGCAAGTTCATATTCTTAGACTACATCTTTATCACCTTAGTCAATCAAACTCCCAAGAGATGTTAGCCTGGAAGTCATCGCTTGTGCCATTCCTCTGCTGAGTACATGACTGTACATAACATGACAAGTTAACACAGATGTAATAATGAGTCTCCCTTATCCCCAAGACCAGATCTTCTGGGAAAACATCTATATCTTTTGAAGGATTGGAGATTGGTATAATGAGTTTTAGTCGGGGTTATCATTTTGAATAAAGACTTTTATAAGTACAGTTACCCTTGGTGCATAACTTACAGGGGAATGTAGTTGCCAAATGGGTTGCATTGTAATCATTGATTTTTGAATGTTGAACATATTTTCCTTTATAAAGAATATTACAAGTAGTGTTTTAGATACTAGTTCTAGCCTAGTTAAAAAATCTAAGGGAGTAGAACTATACTGTGTATTTTCAGTGAAAAGCAATAGAAAACACAGTTTTAAGCACTACTAAGGAAGTAAAATAGAGGGCCAACACAGTTGAAGGAGATAAAGTTTTACTTCGCTTGGTTAGGAGCAAGTGAATGGGCAGATGAACTGATCCCTCCAGGCATTTTTAAGTGGCCTTGAAAACATTCAACAAACTGTGGACTTATTAGAAAAAGTTCCTAAAATAGCCTTGCTTTTTTTCCCCCTCTGTCCCATTAACACATTATGTTGAGTAGTTTTCCACTAACTCTTGGATGAAATTTTGTGAAGATCTCAGGCATTTTAAGTTACTCTTTATTCTCTGGTACTTACTAGTCTTCTAAGTCAAGTCCATGATGATAATCTAAACCTGCTGTTCTCCTTACATTTTTCTCCCATTACCTAGCCAGAGCTGGACCAAGGAATGGAAGCTTGGAGTGTGGGTGTTTCCTTGAATAGTTTACAGGGGTGTGATCTGCAAAGATGTTCCTTGTCCCTTACCCCTTCCAATTTCTCTCTCTGCTCAGCTGCCAGAAGCTGAGCAGCCTCCTCTGCCACGTGCTCCTACTGCCACCATGTTCTGCTTTGCTACAGCAATGGAGTCAGCCAACCATGGGCCAAGCCTCTGCCACTGAGCCAAAGTAAGTATTCCCTCCTTTAAATTGTTTCTCTCAGGATTGTAACAGTGATGTAAAGTTTAACATGGACTCTGTTCTCAATTCTGGACTTCACTCATCTCTCCAGTCACTTTGTCCTTTGTAGCAATCCTATCAAGAAACCCCTAGGTTTATTCCCAACTTTGTGGTACACACCTTCTCTACATAAATCCTAATTCCTACCTTTTTTTTTTCTGTATTGTTTCTGTGGACCAATCTAGCCATGGTGTCTTATATCAGCCTTTAACTTCTCTTAAACTCTGGGGATCTTGTCAAACTCTCCAACTATTCCCTTGACAGCCCTCTCATTTGGCTTAAGGCAAAAACATAGTCTTTCTCTGTTGAGGAAGCCGTACTCCAGTTACTCTCTACAGAATTCTCTAATCCTTCCAATTCCAGAGCTCTTATTGCTTGGAGATCATTAACGCTGGTGGACCTGTTTTTACATTTCTAGCAGTTCTGCACAATGCTCTTCTTGCCTCATGGTTACATAGTATCTAGGCCTTAAAGTCATGGCCAAAACTGAAATAGAAAGAATTCCATTTGTTACTCTGTTGAATGTCCAGTTTTGCTTTGGTATATAAAGTCTTCTTGACCTTTCCTTTATGATATTAATAATAGTGCCCAAATAAGCCAAAATTCAGTTTCTTTATGTTCACAAGTGGCATATGAGAAAAATGGAAAGAAAGAAATTGGTACCCAAAAAAAAAGAAGCTCCTTTCTCTGAGATAAATGTGACAATGCTATATGATGGGGAAAATGCAACATGGCATAGAAATGCTA